CTCATAAGAGCTGGAACTTTAGTATAATTATTAGTTCTTAACGTCTGTAGAGGATACTCATCCAAAAATGGTTCCACATTATCGTATTCCTTTTCAATTGCTGCCTGTACTAATGTGTGTACGCCGTTTTTATTTGCACGAGAATCTGATTTCATTAGAGCCTTAGTCAAATCTTCAGGAGTAGAGTTCCGAAGCAAATTATCTATTTCCTCAGAGCTATTAATGGTATTTCCTAAATTTGAAGCAATATCTTTTGCTCTTTCCAGGTGATTATAGCCTATCATTTCATCAGATAAAACTGATGATAAACCAATTATCCTTTTAAATATACCTTGAGTCATCTTTGAAATCAATAATAATGTAGTTACAACTGCGCCTGCACTTTCTCCCATTCCTGTAATATTATTTGGATCACCATTAAAATGTTCTATGTATTGTTTCACCCATCTTAGGGCCATAGCGGCATCTTTAAAACCAGCATTACCGGGCACTTCTGGTGTTTCAAGATTAAGAAATCCAAAAATATTGACACGATAGTTAATTGTGACTAGAATGACGTCTTGACGTATTAAGTAATCTGGACGATATACGTGACCGCATCCCCTGTATAAAGTACCGCCATATGAGAAAAATAGTACTGGCAGACTTTGTTTTTGTTTATCGGGCAATATTGGAGTGTACACATTTAAATATAAGCAGTCTTCTGAACCTTCTATAGATTGGTTATAGGGATTTATTTGCACGGGTTTATTTCCAGGTTTCGTCGCGTCAAGTACTCCACACCAGTAATCAAATTTCTGAGGATCCTGTAAATTAGTTTTGATATTATTTCCATTATTTTTAATTTAAAACAGGGCACGGCCCCACCGTACGATTAGCGAAAATCTGTCACTGTCGCATGATATAAAAGTTTTCTTTTATATCACAAGAAGATTGTAAAAATTGCTGCGGAACAATACTACTTAGCGTTGTCAATATGCGAAGGTATTCATTGAAAGAATTGTAAAAGAGACTGATTAAAAAGTATAGGATGTGAAAGCAGGATCTTGGATCAGGCTTGGATCCTTACTAAGCATTGTCGAAAACTTTTTGGTGAAAAGGTTTTCCGCATTTTTGTAGATTCGAAAAAGACTTACAATCGTGTGGCAAGGAATAAATTATGGTCAGTGTTGTCTATGGGATGAGCGGCCAGTTGACACAGGCGGTGGAATCCCTGTATAGGGATTCTACGGCTTGCGTCAGAACTAACTGAGTCTGCATGGGTTGGTTTCCTATCGATAAAGGTGTAAGACAGGGTTGTGGTGCCTCCCCGTGGCTGTTCAACCTATTTGGACCTATGCGGACCATATCTCCCTCCTTCTGGTATCTTCTATCTATGTTTGCCATAGTCATTTTGTATCATGATTTGATATTTTCAAAAAGTGCCGAGAGTTTTTTACGCCGGTTTTTTTCTCTCGTCCTACACCCTCTGTCTTCTTTGCCGATTAGTAGCGATACAAATTTAATGACGTGGAATAAGTGATACCTGTTTCTGATATTCCATGATAAACATATTTTATTTTATTCAATATTCATGGGCAATTGTCTGAAAGACTTGAAAGAGAGTGCTTAAAAATGGAGCTCGTGTGAGATAGTAGTAGTAGTCGTAGTGAGATACGTGGGCACGGATACGAAAGGGCATGCTTAGGTGGTTTGGCCATATAGAACGGATGTCGATGTTGATCGAGTCGTCGATGGTGAGATGGGGTTGGGTAGGCCTCGTTGAACCTGGACCAAATCCAGGAGGTACTAGAGAAGGACAAGACGTTAAAACTACCTATAACCGACGAGCATACATGGTGAATTTCACCTGGATGAATTTAGAGAGATATGTAGTTAGTGGATATCCATGGTATCTTCCTTCCCTTCGGGAAAAAGATACACGGTGCACTTATTACTGATAAAAAAGTCTGTAATTGGTTCAAGAAGGGTGAACTAATTAGTCATTAAGGGTAAATTTACTTACCCTAAATCTGAGGGGTCCCAAAGGTGGCTTAGCGAAGGGTATCCCCTCGAAGCTATAGTACTGTTTACCGCACGGAGTACTGCACACTTTACCTCTCATCTTACCATGGGGTACTGTCACATGGCAATCGGACTTATCTTAAAAAAAAAGAAAATCGAGTATAAAAGACTGAATCTCACCTTGAAGTAATAATTAAATATTTATTTCGGATTTATAATATAATAATATTAACATCTCCTCATTCAGCCTCATAAGTAATAATAACACCGTTTAAATTAAAGTTTGTGTCTGATGAAAACAGATACTTAAAAACTTAGAAAGTTACATACTTAATTGAAAAGTAATTATCTTGAGGGAAATCGCTAGACTGTCAAAACAGTGTCTTTAATATAAATATACTCACTGTGATAAAATTTTACGGGGTTGGCAATGATATTCCTTATTGAACACTTCAACATTTTTCGGTACATCTTGTGTAAGTTCTATGCCTGTTGAAACTTTTTAAATATAGAAAAGAAAATCATTTAACATAGACTCATCTTGAATGTAGTATGGCCAAACATTTATACTTTTACGCGGACAACCAGAAAATTGTATATTTTTAACCCACTTTGTTTTAAGCGGTTCAAATGTATGGAGAATGAGGCGATGTGCTGTTCTCTAAAGTCTAAAGTAAAGAGAGGATTGTCGATCAATCACTGACTGGTCCGAAGGCCACTGTGGGGTTCATCAGCCATATTGCATATTGTAAATGTCGCACAAATGGAGTTTTACCGCTTTAAACTGTTGTTAGGTTAAAGAGGTATTACGAACCAAAAAAGGTAATTACGCACACACTATAGTGAGATTCAGAGATACTTTGCGCTAAGTATGACTCCCGTATGTCAAAATGAATAGATTTTGACAAACAAAAGTTCACGCTTAGTTCTAAATCAAGATTTCTAAAGGAGAGGGTCTTATTTAATGTATTGGTCCGCACAAAACTATCACAGCAAAAGCTTTATATTTTAAATTAAAATAAATAGCTGTTTCAAATGATGGATGCCATAGCATAATTAATGAATTTTTAGGTCCACAATACATTAATTAATGCTATTATATATGTCGCAGTCAACTACCTTAATTAGCCGTTTATTCAACGGCCTAGCCTCTTAACTAAATATCGCCGTTTAACGAGCGGCCTGAAAGATTTTCAGCGAGTTGATCAAACAGCTAGGCAAATGACTTGGATGGATGACGTTTCATTACGTGCCTAGCCTGTTGATTGTTAATTAAAATTCAAATTTTGTTCCACTTTCTGCCTCTTTAAAACTCGAAACGAAACTCAAAACTCAAACTGTCAATATGGCAAACCACAACTTTAATCGTGTTTTCCAAAGTTTAATGAAAAACAACAAGTACAGTGGAAGAGTGTAGTGACTTGTCAATGTGAATTTAGCTGTGACTGACTCTAGCTCGATTGTTTAAAGAAATGTTTTTATGTCATATGTTTCATTTCTTTTATTTCTACCACATGATCACTCTATCGTACGAATGGCCTAAGTATTAGCCAGCCAGTTTATTAAATGTTGTTACAAACGCTTCAGCGTTAACATTAAGGCCTACAACGCACTAGCGGCTGACCGCGATGCGGTGTGCCGGCGCACATCGATTATTACATGAAACCGCACGATAACGACGCACTGATTTGCGGACAACCGTCAATCGCTCCAGTTGTTCTGGAGCTGCGACGAGCCGCACCGGTTGAATGATGCGGCGCGCCGCGTCCCCTCCACGCACTCGGCGCGGTTAGCCGCAAATACCGCGTCCTACCCGCCTCAGTCATCGCTTGTTCCTTGCGCTAGACACTACGTAGAGTTTTTTTGACGATATTTTCTACGATGATATAAATAAATAACTGCTGCAACTTCTTCAACGTCCATCATGTGCAATATTTCAAGAAGCACTGACGAGTGACGATTGCGGCAGACCGCAATAGGGACGGTTAGCCGGAATACGGCATACCGCTACGGCAGACCGTATATACCGCGGCCTCCCGCAGCGGCACACCGCATCGCGGCCAGCCGCTAGTGCGTTGTAGGCCTAACAGTGACAGATTAACAAATTTTCAAGGATATGAAGTTTTTGCGTCTTTGACTCTGTTGTCATGTCCAAGAATATTTTTCAATCCAACAATTTCATTAAAAATACACATAAAATAAATTTTTAGGTTTAATTTTAGCACGAAATTACCATTTAGCAATTAATTACAAACCTACCGCCTCTGCGTCATTAATATTAAAATCAAAGAAAAAATCCTTGTCGAGACCGTCCATCGGTCCTAGCAAAAAAATATAGCAATTACTATCAAGCACAAGATGATACATATGATGCATACAGATACAAGTAGATACATTCCGAAATAATTAGAAAGAAAGAAAGGCAGAAAAAAGTTTATTATACAAAATAACAGTATCTTTAGGTAAAATAAAGTGCACTTGCCCCCACACTAGGATTCCATGTGTTGTGGGCAGCCAGTGTTTTCCTTTTGTCATGTTAACTGTACTTTACTTTATAATTTCTACATAACACAAATCTATAATTCAACTATTTTTGCACAATAAGTATATTTTATGTATCAGTATTATAATTCATTAAATTCCATTATTGAATTAGAGATATCGGGTAAAGATTGAAAAATAGTAGCGCAGATGAGAGACAAATGAAAGAGTTAGGAGGATGCCTTCACTCCGTCGGAGGTCCTGTACTATTAAATATAATAACATAAACTTAATGTAATCCTTATTATAGTACTGTAATATAGGCTATTTTATTTTATTAAATATTTTAATCATAAAATTTCAGAGATTTAAATCCGTCACACAAATAAATATTATGTCTTATTTATCTAGTCAAAATAACTAACCGTTAACTATAAATTATGTTGAGCAAATATGTTTTTTGCACTTATTAACTTAACTTGGGCAAAAAGTAATAATCGTACAAGATTGTCTTGTTATTGTTGTCGTATCTTCGGCTTCTGTTTAAGTATATTAATTAGATTTGTATATCTATCATATTCGGGTAATGGGACACAGCTTATTCTGTCATCAATATTTAAACATATTCTTTCATCTGTTTTATAGTTTGGCCACGATATTTCCTGTCCCGTCCACGTTGGTTTTCTGAAAAAGAAAAATATATATTTGACCAAGAAAACATGTTATTTAATTATGCAACTATAAAAATCGTATTAGCACTGCATATTTAAGACTGTTGTTACAGCCAACATAATTATTATACGCTCAATGATCACAATAAAAGAGAAAATGCATTCTTCCTTTAACCTTCACCTTCCTTCGGTGGTTTTAAACTTTATCAAACTGTCTCTGCTAGTATTTAGTGATTAATAAAAACTCACCCGTTTTTTGCGAAGTTACACAACGCCTCAGTCAACATATCAACAAGTTTCATATCTTGTTCATTAAAAGTGTTTCTTCTCTTCTCTGTGTAAAATAGAAATTGTAATATATCGCTGTGTGTAGAGTCTTTTACTCCTAAACGTTTCTAACACGCGAGTTTTCGTATGCAAATCTACAAAAATAGAAATCGTCGTTTCTAGAAAATAAGTCTGCTGTATAGATTATGTCTCTGGTAACATACATATCTGAAACTAGATCTAAGTATTCGACTAGTGTTGAAGGACCGATTTCTTTATCTTTAAAGTACAATTCTTTTAGTTGTTTCTCCATATCCATTAATTGCACAGCATCCTTATCTTCTAATGCAGGACTCGGTACGAATTTCAATATATCATTGTTAAATTTAAATTGTCCGGATGGGGGAGTTATAAGGTATGCCGATTCGTGGGTTGCCACACTCATAAGAGCTGGAACTTTAGAATAATTATTAGTTCTTAACGACTGTAGCGGATAATCATCCAGGAATGGTTCGACATTATCGTATTCATTTTCAACTGCTGGCCGTATAAAGCTGTGTATGCGATTTTCATTTGCACGAGAAACTGATTTCATTAAAGCCTTAGTCAAATCTTCAGGAGAACAGTTCCGAAGCAAATTATCTATTTCCTCAGAGCTATTAATGTTATTTCCTAAATTTGAAGCAATATCTTTTGCTTTTTCCAGGTGATTATAGCCTATCATTTCATCAGATAAAACAGTTGATAAACCAATTATTCTTTTAAATATACCTTGAGTCATCTTTGAAATCAATAATAATGTAGTTATAACTGCGCCTGCACTTTCTCCTATTCCTGTAATGTTATTTGAATCACCATTAAAATATTGTGACTAGAATGACGTCTTGACGTATTAAGTAATCTGGACGATATATGTGACCGCATCCCCTCTGTAAAGTACCGCCATATGAGAAAAATAGTACTGGCAGACTTTGTTTTTGTTTATCGGGCAATATTGGAGTGTACACATTTAAATATAAGCAGTCTTCTGAACCTTCTATAGATTGGTTATAGGGATTTATTTGCACGGGTTTATTTCCAGGTTTCGTCGCGTCAAGTACTCCACACCAGTAATCAAATTTCTGAGGATCCTGTAAATTAGTTTTGATATTATTTCCATTATTTTTAATTTAAAACAGGGCACGGCTCCACCGTACGATTAGCGAAAATCTGTCACTGTCGCATGATATAAAAGTTTTCTTTTATATCACAAGAAGATTGTAAAAATTGCTGCGGAACAATACTACTTAGCGTTGTCAATATGCGAAGGTATTCATTGAAAGAATTGTAAAAGAGACTGATTAAAAAGTATAGGATGTGAAAGCAGGATCTTGGATCAGGCTTGGATCCTTACTAAGCATTGTCGAAAACTTTTTGGTGAAAAGGTTTTCCGCATTTTTGTAGATTCGAAAAAGACTTACAATCGTGTGGCAAGGAATAAATTATGGTCAGTGTTGTCTATGGGATGAGCGGCCAGTTGACACAGGCGGTGGAATCCCTGTATAGGGATTCTACGGCTTGCGTCAGAACTAACTGAGTCTGCATGGGTTGGTTTCCTATCGATAAAGGTGTAAGACAGGGTTGTGGTGCCACCCCGTGGCTGTTCAACCTATTTGGACCTATGCGGACCATATCTCCCTCCTTCTGGTATCTTCTATCTATGTTTGCCATAGTCATTTTGTAACATGATTTGATATTTTCAAAAAGTGCCGAGAGTTTTTTACGCCGGTTTTTTTCTCTCGTCCTACACCCTCTGGCTTCTTTGCCAATTAGTAGCGATGTCTACCGATACAAATTTAATGACGTGGAATAAGTGATACCTGTATCTGATATTCCATAATAAACATATTTTATTTTATTCAATATTCATCAATTGTCTGAAAAACTTGAAAGAGAGTGCTTAAAAATGGACCAGCTACAAGCTCGTGTGAGATAGTAGTAGTAGTCGTAGTGAGATACGTGGGCACGGATACGAAAGGGCATGCTTAGGTGGTTTGGCCATATAGAACGGATGTCGATGTTGATCGAGTCGTCGATGGTGAGATGGGGTTGGGTAGGCCTCGTTGAACCTGGACCAAATCCAGGAGGTACTAGAGAAGGACAAGACGTTAAAACTACCTATAACCGACGAGCATACATGGTGAATTTCACCTGGATGAATTTAGAGAGATATGTAGTTAGTGGATATCCATGGTATCTTCCTTCCCTTCGGGAAAAAGATACACGGTGCACTTATTACTGATAAAAAAGTCTGTAATTGGTTCAAGAAGGGTGAACTAATTAGTCATTAAGGGTAAATTTACTTACCCTAAATCTGAGGGGTCCCAAAGGTGGCTTAGCGTAGGGTATCCCCTCGAAGCTATAGTACTGTTTACCGCACGGAGTACTGCACACTTTACCTCTCATCTTACCATGGGGTACTGTCACATGGCAATCGGACTTAGCTGAAAAAAAAGAAAATCGAGTATAAAAGATTGAATCTCACCTTGAAGTAATAATTAAATATTTATTTCGGATTTATAATATAATAATATTAACACTTAACATCTCCTCATTCAGCCTCATAAGTAATAAAAACACTGTTTAAATTAAAGTTGGTGTCAGATGAAAAAGATACTAAAAAGCATAGAAAGTTGAGAGTTTATTTGTCAAGAGAAACATCGAGGTACATACTTAATTGAAAAGTAATTATCTTGAGGGAAATCGCTAGACTGTCAAAACAGTGTCTTTAATATAAATATACTCACTGTGATAAAATTTTACGGGGTTGGAAATGATATTCCTTATTGAACACTTCAGCATTTTTCGGTACATCTTGTGTAACTACAGTTCTATGCCTAATGAAACTTTTTAAATATACAAAAGAAAAAACATTTTACATAGAGTCATCTTGAATGTAGTATGGCCAAACATTTTTACTTTTACGCGGACGACCAGAAAGATTTATATTTTAAACTCATCTTCTTTTAAGCTGAAAAATGTATTGAGACTGAGAAGATGTGCTATTGTCTAAACTCTAAAGTAAAGAAAGGATTCTCGACTAGTCCAATTACTGACTGGCCCGAAGGACCAATTGGTTGATGTCGAGACTTTGTCTATATGCCCAGCGATCGGAAATTCTAAGGCAACCGCACGCCGGATGTTGTACATGTAGCAACAAAAGGTGGAGTTGTACCGCTTTAAATAAAGCCTATTAGGTTAAAGAAGTATTTCTAACCAAAAAAGGTAATTGCGCACAGGAAGTCTATGCCTGGACCCTTTACTTCACGCCTAGGCTAAGATTCAGAGTCGACAGTCAATTCTTATTGCTAAGTACATAATTGTTTGTATGACAAGGATATTACATTATGACCCGAAATTTCACGCAGTCTCTAAATCTAACCTTTAGAAAGACTTCTAAGAACCTTGCCTCTGTCTCTAAAGACGGTCCTGAAAAAAAAACTAAATGTATCCGCACAAACTAACACAGCTGTAGCGTATCGTAGATACGCACTAAAAAATAATGTACATACTACACATGCACTACACAACAACAATACTACTAAGAAACTACTGGCAACATAAATACTAAGAAAAGAAGAAAACAGTCTGTTCTGCGAGTGACGTACTCAGAACAGACTTTTAAGATGAGTGAATATATTATATTTATGTTTTTTTCCTTGAGCGTTGCTATAAGTATATAATTTAATTACTCTTGTTTGTGAAGAATAAATCAATTAACAAAGATAAAAATGGGTTGTGGTTTATAACAAGATAGAACTTCCCATACAGCCCAAAGCAAAAGCTTTATGTTCTAGATTTAAACATTAGTTTACCTGTGTGCCGTATTATGTATATAACTTAAATGATGGACACTATAGCATAATTATTCATTCTTGAGGTGTACAAAAAATAAAATATTAATGTTATATAATACAAGTTTAAAGAATCGAATTAATGAACTAAAATATTACTCTTACATCTCGTGTCCCATACGGACTGTGAAATTGTTAATCATCAGCTGTTATTTACTAAATCTGTCTTCGTCGTGAAAGAGATAAGAGCGATTTGGTTTGAAAGAAAAAAAAATAAAGTTTATATTAGCCACTTATTTCCAATCTTTACAAATGTTAAAAAAATTTTTAGTTACTCGATAGGCTAACTTCCTTCAGCACTATTGATCGGAACCCGAAGGCTCTAAAAAAAATCATTGGTGAAATGTCGCGAATTTTCTTTTTCTATGGCAGCCGTGTCATGGAAAAGATCTTGTCTTAACGATGCCGTTTTAAAACTCTTTATTATTCATACTAATTCCCTTACACATAAAAACTAATCATTATAATTACACTCTTAACTTTATTTTTATTTTTTATCATTGCTTAATCTACTATATAAAAATAAGTCGCGTTTTCCTTCCTGACGCTATAACTCCAGAACGCACGAACCGATTTCCACGGTTTTGCATTCGTTGGAAAGGTCTCGGGCTCCGTGAGGTTTATAGCAAAGAAAATCAGTTAAATTAAATTCAACAGAAAAGCGGGATCACCAAACGAAATGTTACATAAAACGAAGCCATCTGGTGGCGAAACGGAGTTCGCCAAGTTAGCTAGTATATTATAAATAAGCTAAAAGTAAACACCGCTTAGGGGTGCTCCAAGGGGTACAGTACATATTTTCAATTCCGTATGAACTAAACAGTAAAATAAAAATACAATTAATACAAAATAAAAATATTACAACAAACAGAGAGAAATTTAAAACTAATTGAATAATATGCGCTATTTTTACTACTAAAGTAAATTTAAGTAAGTATTTTTTTAAAGATTATTTAACCTGAGCGGTCCCACAGGTGGCTTGAGGGGTACCTTTAAGGCTCTATCCCAGCACGAACTGCTGTGTCAGTGTTTCGGGGTGGACTGCGGGGCGCAGTGGAGAGCTGGCACGCCGCCCCGTAATAACAATTAGTTATGTAAAACATTAAATTAATGTAATTTTGTCAATTCTTTTCTGTAATGGATTTGGATTGCGATAAAATATATCGTGTAAATTTCAAAATCATGTTCTAAATACCTTTTCGTCATAAAATGAATACAAAGTGTCAAAAATTGCCTATGTTTGGATTTTTTTTCTATCGAGCGAAGTTTTAAATCGTGTATCCATCTTTCAAAATGGATACATAAACTACTCAACTCCATCATATATATTTTCCATTCGCCCTACTTCAAGAAACGATGACGAAAAACGGAAAGAAACAATGTACTTTTTTGAAGTTTGGCGACCGGATAGGTCCTTAACCTGTAAAACTGCACAGTTGCACACTTTACCTCTAATCTTACCCTGAGGTACCGTGACAGTAGTTACGAAGCAATCAGTATTTAAAAAAATAGTCATAAAAAATTTAACCAACGTTCAATTTTACGCACACTTCATCAATCATATTTTTTGCAAAATAATTATATTTTTTTAATCGCAATGAAATAAGACAGCGACTTAATCCGCAAAAAATGTAATAGTCCGGTCAATTTAGACATCCAAGGTTACAATAATTCGCACTTGGCTGAATATTGGTAGGATTGCTCAATACACTATTATAAAGGAAATGTGAAAAGTCCTCATCGATCCGGCACGTGCCAAAAAATTTACTCCGGGTCAAAGATCACAAAAATGGGTTTTTCGCGATTTTCACTAAAATGGTAAGTTTTATCATAAAATTAGTTTAGACAAAAATTGTAGATCAGCTAATTATCTATAAAAAATGTCCAAATACTTTTTTTTCCTAAGAGCAACCGTTTTTGAGATATCACGATTCAAAAAGTTAAAAGAGTTGTAATCGTCATAATATGCACACGTTTCCACGCCACCTTTGAGGTACTTAGCGCTTTTTTTTAATGTGGTTTCCCCGGTAGGCCTATTCCACTGATCTTTTATGATGCTGTTTAATTTGAAACTATTGAATAACTGTAGATATTGACAAGGGTTGAAAATGATGAAAGGGGTGTAAATTACAAAAAATAAGAAAATTTATCCGTCTGAATCTAAATCATCATTAACTTCTGCTTTCTCTTGTTCTTGTTCTTCTTATCTTGTTCTTGTTCTTCTTCTCTTCCTTCTCCTTCTTCTCCTTCTTCTACGAGGAGGACTTTTAGTAGATGTACTGGCTTCTTGTTCTTTATGTTGTCTTTTAATAGCTGCAGCAATGGAACACTTTCGAGAATAATTTTTACGACACTCCACATGTATGGTCACAGATTTCAGATTTTTAAGATATTCTGAAAATTCATCAGCTCTTTCAGTACTTGCATTGATTAATGTCTTCATACCACGTTCAACAGTAAAAATTTCACCTTCAGTTAAAAGTTTAGCACAAATAAAACAATATTCTGAAATTTTTGTTATAAAATTCAAAACAGCACGAAATAGGTTAGAAAAAATTGGTTACAATAAACACGTGTTTTCACTCCAGAGCGATGTTGCTGAAGGTTACACTGGCGTAGAAAATAAAGGACTGGGTTTTTTTTTACCCGAAATTTTCATATTTTATATGTGTAAGTCACACTGACCGATAGAACGATATTTTTGCTTGTATTACGGCTTCAGTGATGTATATACGTGGTGTACTTTGTATTATGTATTATGACGATTACAACTCTTTTAACTTTTTGAATCGTGATATCTCAAAAACGGTGGCTCTTAGGAAAAAAAGTATTTGGACATTTTTTATAGATAATTAGCTGATCTACAATTTTTGTCTAAACTAATTTTATGATAAAACTTACCATTTTAGTGAAAATCGCGAAAAACCCATTTTTGTGATCTTTGACCCGGAGTAAATTTTTTGGCACGTGCCGGATCGATGAGGACTTTTCACATTTCCTTTATAATAGTGTATTGAGCAATCCTACCAATATTCAGCCAAGTGCGAATTATTGTAGCCTTACCCCTATTTTTCAGTCTAATTTGACCGGATTATAATGTCATTAAGAAAATCGTACTTTATTGAAGTAATTACAGAATTCAATTTGAACAAGACAAGATGCCGTTGCAGGAACTCAAAAAATGGGAGCAATCTGTGGTAAGGATCCACAACAACTTTTTACATAATATTAGCCATCCAACACGGAAAAAAATCGAATCATAAAGACAAAGTTTTTCACTTTAGAAAACATTGGGTCGCGCTAAGATTTATTAAAGCAAGGTCAAGGATCGAGACCAAGAGGAATACCGATAAAATATACGATTTTCAAAAGCCTTCATAATTGATAAATGAAAAACTTTGTGATTCTTCGTAGAAACTCGAAGATACCATTAGGTAGTATTTATTTATTATTAAAGTACCTACACATTTATTTTGTAATGTATTTCCTAAATACACATTTACAGCTTCAGGGTTAGATAAAGTGCTGCCTGTCCTTGTAGCAATACAGCTGAAGAGACGATGTTATATGTTCTGACCGATTGTCTTATGTATGGATACGACAGGTAATAAGCTATGAATAAGCTATGGGCATAAAACTAACAAAGACGACTTTAAAGGAAATAATGTTGAACATTAAGGCATCCTTTTGGAATTTGCTGAATGCAAAAAGTTGTTAACGACGACATAGTCAAGGAATTATCCAGAAAACAATAAAAAAAGGATTTTCTACAGAATGTTACTAGTTATCTATTCTAAAATACGTGACTTTAAATTGTTTAATTATGATTAACACCATTTTTACAAAAAAACTAGCGATTACCTAGTATGCTTTGCTTAAGTCAGGACAGGCTATTAATAAGGCTTTTAAAATTGATCAGCCTTCTACCGAATATATATCTTGTAATTAATGTTTATTCTG